ATCAAGCGAGGTGGGGGTGTTTGGTTGTTTAACAAACTCTTACTGTCTTGTCTCCTGCAGCAGCAGCGAAAATTTTTATTCTGCTATAGAGGCAGAGCTAGCCCCACATATACCCATTGTACATACATCTGTGGGGGGTACTGCTGTCATAGGCAGTGTTGCTGTCGGTGAGCTCCTGCTGCTGCTGCTGCTGCTGGGGGTGGTGGGGGTGGTGCTGGTGCTGGTGGTGGTGGTGCTGCTGCTGCTGCTGCTGGTTGCTGCTGCTGGTTGCTGCTGCAGTACATACCCAATAGTTTCTGCTCGCACCTGCAGCATTTCCGTTGTTAATATACTCCTCCTGCCGCTCCTGCTGCTGCTGCTGCCCCTCCTGCTGCTGCCCTTCCTGCTGCTGCTGCTGCTGCATCTGCTGCTGCTGCTGCTGCTGCTGCTGCTGCTGCTGCTGCTGCTGCTGCAGGGAACAAGAAGGGTTTACTGGTACCATGGAGCACGAGTGACCTTGAGCTGCAGCATCTGCGTAACAGTTTACCTGATGCTGTGAAAATACGCAGAGTTGAGGAGAGACTGTCTGCACTAGGCAACTGTATAGCCACCAATGACTATACTGCCCTTGTACACCCAGATATAGATACAGAGACAGCTGAGCTTATACAGGACGTGCTGCAGGTAACTAGGTTTTTTTTTCTCTATCTATACATGTAAAATATTATATATTTCTCGCTGTTTTTTTTTATATATTTATTGTTTATGGGTATAGCCACCAATGACTATACTGCCCTTGTACACCCAGATATAGATACAGAGACAGCTGAGCTTATACAGGACGTGCTGCAGGTGATTAAGCTTTTTTTTCTGTATCTATACATGTATAATATTATATACTTTTTTTCTATGTAAAATATGTATTTTTTTGTATACTATATATATATATATATATATATATATATATATATAGATACGGAGACAGCTGAGCTTATACAGGATGTGTTGCTGGTGATTAAGCTTTTTTTTCTGTATATTTATATGTAAAATATTATATATTTTTTGGTGTTTTTTTTTATATATTTATTGTTTATGGGTATATATAACAATGACTATACTGCGCTTGTACACCCAGATATAGATACAGAGACAGCAGAGCTTATATATATATATATATATATATATATATATATATATATATATATATATTATTTATTTATTTATTTATTTATTTATTTATTTATTTATTTATTTATACAGAGAGAGAATGCAGCAGAAACAGCGGATGGTTGTGTGGATGGAGGAGATAGAGAGCTGCGGTGTATAGGCAGTCTCCTTTTTGTTTTTTTTTATTTTTTTTTGTCTCCTCTATCCTTTTCTCGTTGTTTCCCCTCCTCTCTTCTTATATGTACTCACTCCTGCTGCTGCTGCTGCTGCTGCTGCTGCTGCTGCTGCTGCTGCAGGTGGAGGTGTTTCGCACTATCATAGGGGGCCAGCTGCTCGTCGGCAGCTACTGCGTCCTCACAAACCAGGGGGGCCTAGTAAGCAAACCCTAAACCCTAAACCCTAAACCCTAAACCCTAGAGGAGACAAGGAGACAGGAGACTGTCTGTGTTTTTTTTTGTCTCCTTTTGTGTACTTTTGCTGTCTCTTTGTCTCTCCCGTTGTCCCTTGTTTATACTGTCTCCTTTTGTTTGTTTTGTCTCCTTTTTGTTTATTTTGTCTCCTTTTTGTTTATTTCGTCTCCTCTTTGTTTATTCCCTCTGTCTCCTTTTGTCTCTGTTTATTTTCTGTTTCTTTATACTGTCTCCTTTTGTCTCCTTTCCTTTACGCTCTCTCTTCTCTGTCCCCTTCTGTCTCCTTTTTTTTAATATAAAATATTTTAATCTCCTTTCTCTGTCTCCTTTTGTCTCCTTTCTCAATCTGCTCTATAACACTGTCTCTTTCTGTCTCCTTTTCTGTCTCCTACTGTCTCTTTTTTTTTTTTTTTGTTTTTTTTATATTTTTTCTCTCAGGCTCACTCCGGGACCTCCAAAGAAGAAATGGAGGATCTGTCGCAGCTTGTGCAAGTCCCCTTCACCGCGGGCACCGTCAACAGAGGCTCAGACCTTGTCGGCGCAGGTATAAACCCTAAACCCTAAACCCTAAACCCTAAACCCTAAAAGGGTAAACCCTAAACCCTAGTATTCAACTCTGGGCTGTAGTGTTAAACCCTAAACCCTAGTGCCAAACCCTAAACCCTAGTATTATACTCTGGGTCCTTGTATTAAACCCTAAACCCTAATACTAAACCCTAAACCCTAATACCTGGATAGTAGAGAGTTTAAAGGTTTACCTGCTCCTCCTGCTGCTGCTATTCCTGCTGCTGCTGCTGCTATCCCTGCTGCTGCTCCTGCTGCTGCTGCTGCTGCTATTCCTGCTGCTGCTGCTGCTATTCCTGCTGCTGCTGCTGCTATTCCTGCTGCTGCTGCTGCTGCTGCTGCTGCTGCTGCTGGTGCTTAGGTTTGATGGTGAATGACTGGGTGGGTTTCTGCGGTATGGAGACGACGGCGACGGAGCTGGCGGTGGTTGAGCGTATATTTAAGTTAACAAACGGGGAGCAGCAGCAGCTGTCTCTTAGAGATGACCTGAAACTCAAAACTTCTCTTGTTGACTTTCTTAGTTAAATATTTTATTTTGCTGCTGCTGCTGCTGCTGCTGCTGCAGCTGCTGCAGCTGCTGCAGCAGATCGGGCTCGTTGTACCGATGCTAATGATGGGTTAGAGTCTAGGGTTTAGACAGCAGCTGCAACAGCTGCTGCTGCAGCAGTTGCTGCTGCTGCAGCAGTTGCTGCTGCTGCAGCAGTTGCTGCTGCTGCTGCTGCTACAACTGTTTCAGGTGTTGGCGGGCTGGGTACAGTGGTATAGGGGGGTATGTATGAGTGTCTCCTTTCGATAGAGAGGAGACTGCTGGGGGCCCCTGCATCACTCGAGGGGGGCCCCCGTGTAGTACCGGGGGGCCCCCGTGTAGTATCGGGGGGCCCCCCGTTACAGAGAGGGGGAGTGCCCCTAGGGGGCCCCCCGATACTACAGGGGGGCCCCCAAGGGGGGCCCCCATACCTTCTGGGGGTCCGAGGGCCCCCAGGAGGGCCCACTTGGCTTCTCCTAGGTTTTAGGGCCCCCTCGACAAACGCAGATGGGGGGCCCCCTGGTAAAAGGGTTCAGTACCCTGTTGAGGGGGGGGGGGCCCCCCCCGGGGGCCCCAAAACAATTTGAGTTTTGGGTTTGTCAGTTCGCAGTGAGTGGAGGTGTTTGTGTGTTGCTTGAGAGGAGACAGTTTGTTTGTGTTTCTTTGTCTTTGCTGCTGTCTCCTCTGTCTCCTCTTGCTGCTGCTTGCTGCTGCTTGCTGCTGCTGCTGCTGCTTGTGCTGCTGACTGTCTCCGATGGATACAAAAGGGGACAGATAGATAGCGCGGCCTATATAGCGAGGCTCAGTTAGATCATATATATATATATATATATATATATATATATATATATATATATATATATATATATATATATATATAATATAATTACAGAGACACACACACATGTACAAAATATATATACATATAGTGTGTATATATGTAGCCACGCAGAAGGATCCAAACAGAGATGGCTGTAGGAGACAGCGGGGGGGAGCGAGTAAATATAGAGAAAATAAATAAAATAAAAAATAAATAAAATTAAAAAATAAATAAAATAAAAAGATAAGGGGGGGGACACGGAACGCAGGCGAAGAGACACCCCGATAAGGAGACAGTGCAAATGAAAGGAGACAGACAGAGGCCTAGGAGAGAAAAATAAAATTAAAATAAAATAAAAATAAAATAAAAATAAAATAAAAATAAAATAAATATAAAATAAAATATACAAGTAGAATATAAATAAGGTAAAATACGAACACTCTCTGTATCTATCGACAAACAAATACAATAAACCTTCACTTTTTTGTTTTAGGGTTTAGGGTTTAGGGTTTAGGGTTTAGTCGGTGCTGCAGGGACCGCATACACAACCAACCCTCTGCGCGTCTCCCCCGAGAGACAAGAGACAGACAAAACAAAATATATTTTAGGGTTTAGGGTTTAGGGTTTATTCGTTGCTGGGAGCACCATAAACACGCAACCCTCTGCCTGTCCCCAAACCCTAAACCCTAAACCCTAAACCCTAGGCTTAACTAAACCCTTGCCACCAGAGCCAAGAGTATTGAATATAAGGGTTTAGCGTTTATACATGTGTCGTATTAGGTTTTAATATCATCAGGGTTTAGCGTTAGTATTCGTGTGTTTCTGTATTCTTCTCATATATATATATATATATATATATA